TGTGGATACTAACCATAACATCATACTTAACACCTGGCAGAAGCTCAGCTTTTCTGACGTATTTACAAAAATATTTACATTTACAACTAGTAACTAAGTACAGCTAGTTCCAACCCCACATACTCTGAAAGAACAACAATCATAAGGCAAAACGTTTCTTCAACAAGCAGTGCAAGCCTCACAGTATTTCATGTTTTCTTGTCATAAGAAGGTTAGAGGTAATTTCACGAGTAGAGGCAGAAAGAGTTTGCACTTAAAAGGTTCAATAAATGCTTTCCCAAGCCATTAATTTAGGTAATTTTTTGTCCCAGGTAATGCAATTAAATTAATAGGGAAAGTAGGGATCTTGTAATTTATTCCATCACTTTTTTAAAATTACATTTTGGAGGATATAGGAGTGTTCATAGCAACTTCCAACAGTCAAATTCCCTAACCCTCCCAGTAGTGACAGAGCCACTAAGCTAATGGAGGCAATAGGAAAGGGAAATGGTGATTTGGATGGAATTACAGCACCCTTTTCAACAGTATCATACAGACAGGTAAGATTAAGGATAACATAAAAATGTTCTCTTGATTAAGTTGTTCTTTTATCATTTTCCTCACACCAAGGAATACTGCTGAATATCAACGACTGAGCATACACTGCAGGTTCTTGCAAGACAAAGACAAAAATAATTCAGGAAAAATAAGTTTTCCACTGCAGTACATCCATTCTGAAGGAAAAAAAAAAAAAAACAGCTGACAAACTGGGTACTAGTGTGTGCTATCAGCCTGCAACTACCAGCTGATTTCAAGTTTTTAAACATGCCAAATGAAATAATCAGTACCTTCCTACAGAATTTCCTCTTTTTTTAAAAAATAACACCCTTAAAACAGAAAAGTAATTTGATTTCACAAAGAAAACAACTGCTCATGGAAATAAACACTTATGCTTTATTATTCTATGCTTCATTTATTAAAATTAGTTAATTACCTTTTTCCTTGTTTGCTTTGTTCAATTAACTCAATTTTCAGATTTTTATAGCAGTTTTGATATCCTTGCAAAATGTGTTCTCTTTCTATTGCTGTTTTTTGATTTTGATCTAGTCTGTCTTCTGCATCTCTAGCAAATAAACAAAGCATAATAAAAAAGTAAGAACTTTTTGTAAAGAAAATAGATTTTCTGTTGTTCTTTAGTGCACACAATGCTCCAGAAGTACTAGACAAACATGCTATAGCTCTCAAAACTAGGTTAGGAACACCCATAGTTTCCAGACTCCCCAAGAGTATGGAGTGGTGTCTAAGACTTAAATTGATAAGGCACCAGGTGTCACAACTGCCAAGGACCCAGAGAGCTGACTTTGTGTCATGAGCTCTGATCATAGAAATCAAATTTTCTCTGCCAAGAGGCGTGACTAGGAAAGAACACTAAAATATAAATATTTTTACTTTTTTGTGAAGACAGATTACTGAAATATTAATTAAATATGCCATAACATGAGGTTGTAAGGCAAGTTAGCAACCAGGTATGTCTTTCTGACACCTCTGAATAGTGTTTACATCATTTGGCCATTTGTCTTGATTAATGTATTCATGAAGAAAGAATCCTTTATGTTACAAAGAACACAGTTGTGTTCAGAAATATTTATGCTTGTGACAAGAGAATATATGTGGTCATACAGCAAGCAATCACCCTATCCACCTGTAAGGGCACATTCCTATTCAGCACACATTACATATTGGTTTATTTTACCAGTCTTAATTAGTTTTTGTCAGTTTGTTTAAGTATATTCAGCACAAACTAAACCACCTCCGTCCTCCTATAAATGGCTCTGAAATGAAAGTTCCAGACCCCAGATTACATGACCCACACAGTACCAGAAATTATGTCATCCCTAAAAAGAGATTGGACTAGTAGGAAGACAATAATAAAATATTGATTTAAAAGTAGACATTACTTCAGAATTTTATCTTGAGCTGAAACTTCTGCTTCCAAGTTTACAATCTGTTCTTTCAACTTCGGAATGCTGACTAAGTGTGTAGCTAAAACAGCCTCAAGATATGAAATCTGAAATATAAACATATTTGGGGTTTCATTAACATTTGCATATATACAGGTGAGAAACAGAAGAACAATCTGCTTACTGAATGGCAGTGCCCTTAACCCTATTGCAAATTACGTTTGTTCATCTACACCACCTTAACTCCAATTTTCTGCTCATTTAGCATTGCTTCCAGTTCCAGTGTGATATTCTGTCTAGCAAAATGATTTCTTTATAGATTGACCCTGTCTCTCACTTTTCCCCAGAAGTTTATATCCAACTATTTCTTTTTCAGTGCCAGGTAGTCAAACATTTTGTTTATCTATTTATTTGTACTGTTCTGGAGATAGTATTCCTCAAATAAGAAAACCACTAAGCATAACTATGTTTCATTAATATTCTATATAAACCAAATAAAAGAACATAGTTGTCCTGAAACAAACCTGTACAGACAAGTGTACACTAAATCAATAATGATTTATTAGATTCAATATTGCCTTCTAACTCATCTTCACTTTTTTCAAAAAGCAATATTAATCCAACCTGAGAGATCAATTATTTTCATTTCCTAGACAAATGACTACTGTGCCATTATTATTCCCATTAATGTCTCAGACACATGATTGTACAGTACTAAATGCATTACTAAACTATTTTCTTTCATAGTGTATTTTTCATTCTGTGGCTTATTGTCTTTAGACTAAACTTTGGAACATAAGTAGAAGGAATTAATAATTAATTTTTTTTTGTCCACAGAGAAATAGATTCTAAACTATTCTGTCCAAGATTAATATTGATTATTAAATATGTACTAAATATTAAACTTACACAGATTAAGACAAAACAAAATCAGCACATTCTGCTTGGAATTGTAAACTCAAAAATCATGGTCACTGGGTGTTTTTGGGGTTGTGTTTCTCTTTGATGAATACACTAAAGATACATACTTTTGTTTTTGACTGAATCAATTCAAAGTTCATTGTTTCCACTCTATCCTTTAGGTAGTGGTTCTGAGAAGTCAAAGATGCATTTTGCTCATGAAGGGCATCCAGCTTCTCCTGAAGATGTTCATTTTCTTCCACAGTTTTATCCAAAGTTGTGGATACTGAATACTAGACATAAAAATACGTTTTTATATAGACATATATATATATAGATATACACACACAAGTAAAAATACATCAGAGAATCAAAAGCAGTTTGAGTTGAAAGGGAACTTTAAAGGTCCTGTACTCCAACCACCTTGCAATGAGCAAGGACACCTGCAGCAGACAACTTGCTCAGAGCCCTGTCCAGCCTGACCTCGAATGCTTCCTTGGATGGGGGATCTACCACAGCTCCGGGCACCCTGTTCCTGTGTTGCACCATCCTCATGAGTAAAACATTCATTACATCTATTCTAAATCAGTTGACAGTCATTACCCCTTATCCTACCACAACAGGGCCTGCTACAAACTTTGTCCCCATCTTTCTTACAAGCCTGAATTACTGAAAGGAGGGGGTGGAAACTTCCCGAAGAAAGGTACTCAAGTGATACTATGTTTAAGAGTTCTCACTTGATATCATTGTCCGATGTTACAGGGTATCTACTCCAAGCCAGCAGCCAAAATGTTCAAAAACATAGCAAAGAAGAGAAAGCCAAAGTAATAAAAAGAAGTAATGAAGAGAAATATTTACTTTGGGTTTTCTTTGAAAATCCTGGAGAGATGTCCTACCATAATTCTTTTTACAGCTGGAAAAACCTTGACAGTTGTAATTGGGCTGTACAAAGTCCTCCAGAGGGACGTCTATCACCTCATCGAAGCAGCAGCTGTAATGTTCACTTGTACTAGTGTTTGGAGAGAGAAAAAAAAAGGCACTATTCCTTTTTTTCTTTATTAGGTTGCTCATAAAGACTATTCAAATGAAAAGCACAAAAGGAGCTAATTGCAGTAATCCATCACACAGAATACAACAGAGTCACACTACAAGAGACAGAAGGTTCTCATTCGCAGACACGCTCATACCTGGAAAGCGCTTTCTCTACAGTCTGGAGGTTCTTCTCAGTTCTCCTCAGCTGATTCTGTAGTGACTGTACATTTGCGAGCAGGTCATCGTCAGCGCCGCTTTTAGAGCAAGTCCACATACTACATTCCATTGGTAACATGTAGAGGGCTAAAGTAACATTGAATATTAAAACACTGTTAAATGGGCATGGAAACCACTTGCAAAATAAAATTTAAAAAAAAAAAAAGAAAGGGGAAAAAAATACAATAAAGAAAAAACTGAATTTCCAAATGTAGACGTACAATTCACACATTACTCCTTCCTACGCTCACTAGATGAAAGTTACAAATTGTCACTTTTATGAGAAGTTCTGCATGCATTCACGAAGTGCAAAAAGCTTCATGATTTGCCATATATGAAAATTGGAAAAACCTGCTATACATTATTTGCCAAAAATGTGTCACACAGCTCATGTCAGAGATCTGGTAGTGCCGTGCACCTGGCGGGGACCCCGAAAGCGAAGGGCGCACACGCGAATGCGCTAAATTTGCCTCGTTGCCCGTGACCAGAGCAACGAGAGACGAAAGCGAACCGGCCCCGAGCGGACGGGCAGCACTGCAGGACCCCGAGCTAGAGGCCCAGGCTGGTGGAGAGCTGCGGCACAGGGCGCTGGCAGTCCTACCTCGGCTCCGAGCGGGCTGTTGTCGCTGTCGGTGCCGCCCCGTCCCCGGCTCTGTATTGCCCAGCGCCGCTCTCGCCGCGCTCGAACCGCGCGGCGCCCTCACGGCGCAGGCGCGGCCCCGCCGCCGGTGCGCTGGAGGCGGGAGCAGCGCGCGCCGCCGCGGTGCACTGTGGGCGGGCGGGGCGCGGCGCTGCCGGGGCGGTGATTGGTGCGGCGGGGTGGAGGGGGCGGGGCGATGCCGACCCCGCCCCTCCGGGGCGCCCCGCCCCTCGGTGCGTGCGCGCGCGGGGGCTCCGCGCTCCGAGGCGCTGCCGCGATGGGGCCGCGGCTGCTGCTGGTGCCGCTCGGGTGCCTCGCGCTGCTGCTGCCGCCGCCCCGCGCCGCCGAGTTCAGCCCCTCCCTGGACAGCGACTTCACCTTCACGCTGCCCGCCGGCCGCAAGGAGTGCTTCTACCAGCCCATGCGCAAGGAGGCCTCGCTGGAGCTCGAGTACCAGGTCGGGCAGGGCGGGAGGGGGCGTTTCCCCGCAGGGTGTCCCGAGGGGAACTGAGGTCCCGCATCCGCCGTGGCGGCGGCGCTGCCGTGTCCGGGCCGTGTGCCCGGTCCCCTGTAGAGCGGCTCCGCCCGGCCCTGCTGCCCGCAGCTCCGTCCTGAGGCCGCAGCCTCGGCCCTGGGGGCAGCGCCTGCCGGGGAACGCGGTGCCCTGCCCCAAGCCCGAGCTCTGCCCGCAAAGCCACGTTGGAATTGTACACTGGTGGAAGTTCTGCCTTCGGGAGTTCAAAATTAACTTAATTAACTTACCAGCCTTTTCAGTTATTCTAATACGTTCTTTTAGTGGTTTGGGGGAGTTTTTTGTTTCTACTTTAGAAGAGCTCAAGTCGCCATCCTTTAAAAGGGCAGAATGTAGAAAGTTCACGGTTGTGACCTCGTGTTGTAGCTCTAAAGCATAAGGAATGTTGTGCTGATGCACAGAGCCCGTACTTGCCTATCTCTGTGCTGATATTAAACACCTTTCATCTCAATGACGAAAGTTTTACAGAAACAGTCCAGTTTAACAGACTATCATTCAGATTTTGATGTCTTTCTTGAGGAAGAGCCGAGATGTCTGGAACAGATCTCGATCTCAGACTCTTTTTCCTCCTTCAAACAAAGACTTTTTTTCTGTAAAATAGGTACAGTGAGGGAAGCTGCACTGAATATTCTCCCAGCCTATCACTGTGCCTCGAAGTGGACCAGGATCTGTCTCTCTCCGCCTTCTATCTATTTTTCCCCTCTGTTTCCCAACTGAAAGACAAAGCTGGAATTCGTGTTTTTTTCTAATTTCTAATACTGCTACATGCAGAAGTGAACAAGAATGAAAGAGAGGTGCTCAAGCTTTCTTTAGAGCCCTGTCTAAGCCAAACAGAAGTTTATTTTGCACAGAGTAGGATTTTAGTTTGACCATAAGCTAAATAAAGACATTATTTTAGAAAGGACTAATGTGTATAACATTATATATGTAACCTGTTTCTACTCAGGTATAAATGTCTTAGCACTACTGTTAATAGTAATGGTTTGGTCTTCTATTTGAATGTGTAGAAAAGGAGATCTGTATATTGCTGCAAATAGATTTCTTTTGTACTTAATTATATTCGTGGCTAAAGCATAAGAATATTTAAGATAGGATGGAGGTCATCCTCCAAAGACACAAGGTAGACACTATGGTAATACAAAGGTTCTTTTCTGGGTGTTTAGACTGGATTATAGCCCTAATGATATGTCACTATATATGGTTTTTAATTTGATCAGCTGTTAGCTAGTAATTTTTTGTCCTTTATCCTTTTTTTTTTTGGTAAGTCTTCAGTGTCAGTTTGAGTCAGTGTAAACTTTGCCCTCCTTTTCAGCAGGAGCAGTCTGCTATACTCAAAAAGCACACTGGAAAACAAAAAAAAAAACCAAAAAATTCCCCTAGCATGGACTTAAGTAATGTCATAAAAACGATCCCTCTCCACCCCCTTATGCAATTAGTACCTTCCCTATAAATAATTGCTACAACACAATAGGTGTGGTGATACAACTGTAGCTGTGTTACACAGTTAAAACAGCACAGCTTTGTAATGCTGTAGACATTCCCTGAGAATTTAGGAAGATAAAAGTCTTCAATTCCTTCTACCTTTGGGAAAAGAGAATGCCCTGGCAGAATTCAGACCTTAAGTGTGCATCAGAAAGTGAGAGGGTCTTGTGGTACAGCTGTGATTGGCATAAGGGGTTTGGTCCTGTCTTCAACACTGGTAATTCACCCAACAAAGAGATCTTAGGGGTGACAGCACATAGTGTACAAATATGTGTAACATGTATATACAGAAAAGTGACTTGTTAGAACAATTCTACTACTGAAATGGGAGTAGTGCAGGTACTTAGCAATCAGTGACATCAGCCATAGAAATGCCAGATTTAGTCATCTCTTGTTGGTATTTTTACAGATTGTCTAACCCTGCCTGTTGATAAAAGTAATTAGGGAATGGTTCGGTACAAGCCCAGACTGGCAGATTTAGATCGCATTTAGTTTAGGATTCTGAAATTGCTAAAATGCTTTTAGGTTCAGCCATTTTTTCATCTGTTTCCAGTTCATTTGGTGTCAGCTCATCCAGACAGATTAATCTCAGGTTCCCTTACCTAAAAACATTTGCCATCCCTAAAAATGTTGCTGTCAGCATTGCAGTCAGGAATTTTACTGGTCCGAGGTTGGTTATTTTTGTTTTGTTTCACAGGTTCTGGATGGAGCAGGATTAGATGTTGATTTTCATCTGCTGTCCCCGAAAGGTGAAACTCTAGTTTTTGATGAAAGAAAATCAGATGGAGTTCATACGTAAGTTTAAAATCTTCAAACTCAGAAGTCTTACATAAATAGCTTTTCCGGATCCTTCAGAAAATATAACTAAATGAAGGTTTAGTACTTTTTATTCCTAAGTATTACAAAAGTCTTTCTAATAGGAAAGATAATAGTTTGGTAATACCAATTTTCTTTCTATAAACACTGAATGCTTTTTACATGAATTGTACCATGAAGTGAAGGGTATTTTTGTTTTAATGATAGCTGTTAATGATAGTGGATAAAAATAATTATTATGGGGTTTAAAAAGTTCTCCATATCTCATATCAAAAGATCATGTGAAATAAGAAGCTGACAAGTACCCTATTTTTCCAATCCTGTTGTCAAAATATGTAATATTTGCTGTAATTTTACTATATAGCATAAGAATTCCACTTCTTGTGCATTTTTTTAAATGAGTAGCAATGATTCAAAATCCCTGAAAAGAAACGGAAGCAAGCAACTGTCTGCATCATTTTGAGCCTTTGGAGTCAGTGGGATTGTTTTGCTCTGACTGTGTAATCTGTAAGGTGTCTTTAGAGTTCTTATTTTTATACCAAAAGAAGATTTGGTTATTTCTAAGTGCACACTTGTCAATCTTAAAGGAAAGGTTTGTTTACAAAAACTGACTTTTTGAGAACCAGCACAGAAAGTGTAGTTAATCATGTTTTGCTTTTATACACAGGGTGGAAACAGAAGATGGGGATTACATGTTCTGCTTCGACAACACATTTAGTACCATTTCTGAAAAGGTGATTTTCTTTGAATTGATCCTGGACAATATGGGAGAAGATGGTCAAGATGAGGAAGACTGGAAGAAGTATGTTACAGGCACAGATCTCCTAGACATGAAACTGGAGGATATTCTGGTTAGTATTTGATATTTCATTCTATTCAATGTAAGAGCATTTTGGAAAAAACTCAACGTCATGTAGCCATTCTGCCTTGGTCTGTTGTATCATCCTGGAATGTATTCCAGTTCCACAAATTGCTTTTACTAGTACAGGAAGTCTAGCACCATGGATCTCTTGTTTGCACACAGAAACTTGAAGAACATTTCAGAATAGGCCCTTCATCAGCAAGAAGAAACTGCCTAGCTCTCAGTCACTTGGCTTCCAATTCAGCTTCCTTTCTTCCTACTGCTAAAATGGGACATTCTTCCCTAGCAGCAATGAAATTAACACTTTGAGCATTAAAATATTATTTAGCCCCAATGATGTAGTTGAAATTGCTGCATAATTTTTATCAATGTTTAAAGATAAAGTACTGTGTTAGCCTCTTCATCACATCTTTGCAGAAGTATGGATTACTGTTTCTATCTTCACTAAATTAGATATTACTATATTTTTTCCCCCAAATTTTATTACACCTTTTCAAACTGATAAACAGAATAAGAGCTAATTTGCATAAACTGCAGGTTCATCTTTGCAGACATGGAGTGGTTACGTTTGCTTAAACTGTATGCTGAGCCTGTTTGTTGTAGTATTCAGATTACTGCTGAGTCAAAGCTCTTATTCCCTTTATGATCATTAAATATTGAGATTACTGTAGAAGCAAAGGATTGCTTGGTGCTCCAGTACAACTGTTCTTTATGTTTGGTAGGATGCAGTAAGCTATTACTTGTTTGATCATAGCTACAGACAATAGCTATCTTAAAAAAAAAAGACCCAAAACCTCAACATCTGCTTACTTACACTTAGTGAATACATCATGTAGAAAATTACAGTTTATATATTATTTATTGCCATAAATACAATGCAGATTTTTAAATAAACAAACAATGTTTAAAATGCTTTCTGGGTCTATAACATTTGTAAATAATAATAAAACCAAATAAAGAATCCAAAAATCTGACCAGATCTTTAAAATTGGCAATCAAGACACTTAGAACAAAGGAAAATTTATATGTGAAGTTGTGAAGAAAATCCCACTCACACTAATCACAAAAAATACTTCAATGGGTTTGATACTTGTTTACATACTGGTATCTCTTCCAAAAGAAAAAGAAATGCAGAACTTAATCTTTGAGAGCCTTGAAAATCTTATAAAGTAGGTCATTTTTGTAAAGTTAAGGTTAGTATTTGATCCTGTTGTTTACTTTGCCAAGTATTACTTTCCCTGCAAGCTCTGTGAGGACTACTGTAAGTACTCAATAGTTTAATTCCTTAATGAAAACACATATCTGGCAACAATAAGGAATTATGTCTTGTGTTTAAAACTGTTGTGTGGTGTTAATTTTCCTTATTGTGCAACAATGAACTTTATCGTCATAAAATTGTTTGTCTCCCCAGAATAGGTATTTTGAAATATTTTTGTTAAATATGAAACAGAGAAAATGCTACTGCTGGATTTAACTGTATGACTTCGGGTTGCTTTTTTAATTATTACCCTCCTCTTACTGCAAATGTTACTCTTCTCACTAAAAGTTACTACAGGATCCATAATTATATCAAGAACATAATTCAGCACTTCATGAGATCAGCTTTTATGTTGTCAGTATCTGTTATGTGGTGGATGAAACTTCAAAAGATCATAGGAACCAGTTGTTTACTTAGCAAGTGCAGAGTAAGGTGTGAATCTTGAGCTGCTGTTGTGATGGCTGGAGTGTTCAGGTACTTCCTCTAGTTCAGGGTAACACTCTTATGTCATTTCTAGGACCTCTAGCTGTCCTATTCAAGATTTATTGCCAAAATTCTGCTTTTGTATCAAGGCTGAAACAGCAGTTTATAGCCACTACAGTAGGAACACCAGAAGCAGACAGGAAGATAACATTATTGTACTTTTCTTTTGCTACAGATGGTAGTTTCCATTAAAAAACTCCTTAACTTTATTATGCAGCAGAAAAAACTCTACATTTGCTTGCTACTACATAATCTCATTTGAGATTAGTTCTGCAGATTCACTACTTTTTATTTGTCCAAATAGGTTTTTCTCTTACCTCCCTACCTATAAGAGAAAAAAACCCCTACAGAACATTAATGATATATTAATTACATCTTTTTAAGTGATACACAATAAACAGGCTAGACAACTTAATAAAAACTGTGATGATGTATTTTCAAGTGAAATTAACACACCACTTGTCAAGAAATTAAATTACAGGTGGTAATACAATATTAATGATTTTGTATATGCTACAAGCTGTACATTTAATTTAGGTGGTTTTTTTTCTAAAAATATTCTTTTGTTACTTACCAGGAATCCATCAACAGTGTCAAAGCCAGATTAAGCAAAAGCGTCCAGATTCAGACCCTGCTCAGAGCATTTGAGGCTCGTGACCGAAACATACAAGAAAGCAACTTTGACAGAGTGAATTTCTGGTCCATGGTCAACTTGGGAGTAATGGTGGTGGTATCAGCTGTTCAGGTTTACATGTTGAAAAGTCTCTTTGAAGACAAGAGAAAAAGTAGAACTTAATATTCCTTAATGTTCATATTATGATGGTAACAATATAACAGGTATAGGGGAGAAGGGGAGCAATAACCTACAGTAAAGAAAATAAAGACTTTTCAGATTCTTTTGAACAGACAGTAAAAATCAGGTTTGCAATTCATGTTGGGCTTTTTGGATGTGATAGTACTGGTGTTTGTGTTTGGGGGTTTTCTGTTGTTTTTTTGTGGTGGTTTGTTGTTTTTGTTTTTTAAACATGAACATAATGCCTTCCTCCCAAGCTCTCCCATTTTTCCAAATGCTACTAACTATTTTTTTGTACTTGTAGGATTTGTTAATGATTGTTAATGCCTACTTTATGCATAGCACACTTGGTGCATATGCAAAGTAATGTTAATATAACTGTCATTTTCTTCATTTTCACATAAAAGTTTAAGTAGTAACTTAGACATTGGTTTAGTTGCTGTTAAATACTGAGTAAATTTACATGTGCCTACGTTTACAGGATTGATAGTTACTGTCATTTTTCTTCAAAATTATATGTTTTTAAAAATCCCCAGTTTTTGTTTCTTTGGCATCATGGAGAAACACTGGGCTAACTATGTAAGAACATGAGATCTCTTTTTATAGCAGATGACTAATATCAGCACTTTAAAAAAAGCACTGTCAATGTGAAATTGAGGCAGTTTTGAAAAACAATTGGAGCACATAGGTACAATTCTTGTTCATAAATCCTTCTGTCCTGTAGTTGCACAATCTTATTTTCCTTTTTGGCTGTTACATGGGACAAGTGACTACACGGTATAAAAATACTGGCACACTTTGAAGTATGACCTGCAAATTCTTAGTTACTGTAACCTCATGTAATAGATAATTTTTTAAAAAAAAGTAATTTCTCTTTTTTTTTCCTTTTAATAAAGGTGGGGGTGTCATGATATGCCAAAACAAACACTGATTGTTGTAGTCTCAAAATCCCTCTTATTTTCCACTTTATTTTTATTACAAATATGACTAATGTAACAGTCAGTTGACTTACATGGGCATATAAAACCAAAGCTGTTCACCTAAAGTTTCCCTTTTGCTCACCCTAAAAGTCTTTCAGTTACATAATTACAGTCTTCATATAACCCATGTTTCTGTACCTAGCTGTTCATCTGAATAAGGCACAAATCACAAGAGGAGTAAGTTTTAAAATCAACTGAATATGTAGTATCACTAAGGCAAAGCTAATACCAAATCAGAAATTCATAACACCTGGATGAAGTGGCTTTTAACAGTGTAGTGAGGGTATAGTTTTTGCCAAAACCCCGGTGCATGAGAATGAACTTATTTTTAGTAGTTTCAAGTTAATAATTTTTACAATGTGCCAAGTCATTAGAATTTCTTGTATAAATGTGTTAACTACATTTCATCGTTAAGAGTTTTTTTTAAACTTTATTAAAAACACTTTTTTAAAAAGTGTTTTTAAAAAATTGTATGTAGTAGCGTTGTGCCTGTTATGGGGTCATCTGTATGAATGGCAGAGTTGCAACTTTGAAACTTTCTGTGATTAAATATTGTTTTATTAATAAAAACAGGGTCAATAGGTGCATTGAAGAAATACATTGTTCAAATGAAACAGATGCTAGCAAGGGCTACAGAACATAGAAACAGCACTTCAACTTCTGACCAGAGGACCTAGCAATAATATTTCTAAATAGTTTTTATAAGCAAAAGTATTATTATTATAATTATTACAGAACTTGTTATAGAGGGCTCCAAATGCTGTTGAGCTACTTCATCTTTCTGCCAAGCTGTGTCAAATAAGACTGTACCCCTTTAAGGTTTTGTGTATCTTCCTTCCATATGATGCTTTCTATTCTAAACTGCCTGGAAGTAGAAGGCTTATTTCTATGATAAGAACAATGTCTAGGAAAAAATAATTCTTTCAGCTAGAGTAGCAAATGATGTTTTCCTGCCATTTCCCTGTCCCTCTCCCAGTAGCACTATACCATGTTATCTTTGCATGCATCACCAATGTGTGATGCTCCAACTATTTGCAAATTGCTGAAGCAGCTCTGGGAAGCTGTGACTAAGACATCTACCTCTGCTCTCCAAGCTACTAGAGTCGAGATTTCAGCTTAGAACTCCAACAGATAACTCTGCCAAGTTTTCCAAGGGCACCTTAAGGGATTGGGTTCCCCAGCTGCTCTGCTGTGCCTCTCTGTAGTTACACATCACTGGCAAAACCATTTGATGTCCCAGTTTAACCTCCTACAGGACTGCTGCAGTTCAGTGTCTCCTCTGGGAGAAGGAAAATGCAACAATTGGCAGAGTTCATCTGGAAGAAATTACTGTTTTGCAACTAAGAGCTCTGACTGTATTTGCTCTTCATTCAAGGTCCACTAGAGAAAATGAAAGCAGAAATAACTAGAAAGGTTCGTTGACTTTGGCAGCTGGAATATGTTTATGATAGGTGAAGGATTTGGTGTACAAACTTGCAGTTAAGTAACATTGTACTTGGATTTTGAAGAGTAGATTGCTTTTGACTGGATAAAATTTACAAAGGAGAATATAAATTACTTTTTTTTCTTAATGGACTTTTTATTCAGAATTAAATGTTTTAAGACTTGCAGATGTTGAATAATTATGCAAAACTGATTTTCAATAAATCAAATTTAAACCTGTGTTTGTGTTGCTTTGTAATAAAGAATGCTATGAATGCTGCAAAAGATCAAGGATGCTAAGCTAACAGGAAACTTGGTTTCAGTAATGCAACTTTTCCATTTCTTCCTCATGCAGTGTTCAAATTCTGTTCTTACTCACTATAAATGTCAACTTCATCAGTGCAAATAATTTAAGATTTACACAGGCGTCAGATCAGAAAGACGCCAACCTCTGGTCTAAAAGAAAGTAACATATTAAACTGTATTTCAGCAGCAAACATGAACAGGAAATAGTACCACAATCTCAAGCTCACACTTAAGAATCTCATAATATAAATAACTACTAGTTATTAATATGTATTATTTTTACATTATTCATAAAATAATACTCAGGATCCTGAGAATAAAGCTCAAAATATTGGAGCATTTTTTTCAGTTAATTGAGTAATAGACGACAAATCCAAGCTTGTTTACCATTTCATGAGTCCTCAGACACGCAGGCCTGTCCGGAAGCCTGCAAACCACATTGTTCAAGTGATGAAACAGGAACTTCCTTTATGCTGTGTTTTGAATCCATGAACGAGACCATAAAATGCTACAGTACAACGTTATGTTGTCAGATTGGGCAATTAGTGGTAGAAGGAACAGTGATTTGACTTGAAAAAGTACATGAGCAGTAAAAACTCTCAAGAGCTATTTTTGGACACAGATATGAGAAATACCTCCAAACGTTCCCTTTCCTGATCTCTGCAAACATGCACCATGAGAAATGACACCTCCTGCCTTCACTTGTCCTGCACACAACCCAGCCTTGTGCCTCAGACTGGCACATTGTTTCCCATGCTCAGCAGTGCAGCACAGCCTTGTTTAACTCCACTTGTTTGTCAGGGTGCAGCACCATCCTCACTCCACTACCATGTGGTACAGTGTTAAGACCACATTTTTAAAGATTTTACTCCATTAGTCACAGCAATTACTTGTTTTTCCTTTCTGGAGTTTTTGGGGTTTTTTTTAATATTTATATGGCAATCGGTTCTATAGACTCCTTATCCCCAAAATTTAATTAAGACAGCCTGAAACGAAGAAGACTGAGCTGTATCTGATTTCTTTAAAAACGAACAGTTCCTTTCCTGTGTCTCAAAGAACAATTCTTGAGACTTTCCTTTGAGAACTTAGCAACTTGTAGTGTAGACAGGAAACATCCATCTCTTAGTTACTGCTGAGAAACGGCTTCTGTTTAGCCCTTCCTTTTCCATACTTTCCTCCTGGCTCCAGTAGTACTCTCACAGAAATTCACTATTCATACAGGAGGAATGCTGTATGAATAGTGAGGTACAGAGGTGAGTAAGCATAATTTACACAAATCACTACAGAATTTTAAAATGCAATCAAAAGCTACATAACTTACTGTTTTCAAAACTGGCAATTCACATGACTGTTAATTTTTATCAAAGGCAAAGATAATAAAATAGTAATAAAATAATGACAAACAACTTACAAGTAGTAGTAAGCCCACCTACACTGCTGAAGTTTCACCAGAAGCACCCGAGTTACACCTCTCATGCCATCTGGTGCTGTAGCTGACAATAGTTAATGAGACTTGGAACCCACACTGTTCACAAACTCCTTTCTTCCCTTGGTACACACCAAGTTTCTGGAAATTATATCCCTCCTCACTCTCCATCTGCTACTTGCGAAATCAGAACACAGGTGCATAAGGAAGGCATAGAGTTGCCAAAAGAAAAGTTCTAGAAGCATGTATCTATACATTTCAACCTTATGTTAAGGGGACCTGAAATTAAACATGTAATAAAGGTCCTTTTCTTTTATGCTTAAGGATTTAATGGAGTTAAAACCTTTCCAGTTGTTCATTAATTCACTTTACCACAGCTTCCAACTGTTGTTAATGCTCTTTAGAATTTCACCCTTAGTGCTTTCTGGTCTCTGCTATCATGCAATCAATTTGTGAAGTTATGAATACCAAATTTGAGCAACCAAATAACACAAAGCAGGCAACCTTAGTAACGATCATTATTGAGAAAAACAGGTACATAGCAAAGGAATAACTATCCCACTGGATGGTGACACAAGTGGATACAATAATTGCCAAGCTTTGAAGTAAACGAGCTTGTTAAGAGTAAAACTGCAGATGTCAGGATTGGAAGATACTGTGTTGAACATTAAATAAACAGAAGACTAGGAAACCAAAACCACATGGAAGTCAATCAGTGCCAAACACCAAGTAGCTAACAATAGGAAGCAAACTGAATATTGTCAAATTGAGAAGCTGGAAACAAGAACAAGAAAAACACACACTAAATAGTATCAGTAAACAGATTAGAAGACTGTACAAAAAGAATGGTATGAACTACAGCTGTATTTGAAAAATTAATATCTACCAGCAAAATATTTTGATTCTAATGAAAACCAGAACAACTGTTGATATTGTGGTTTTTGGATCTCAATGCTGAAATATGTACAAACCTGATTTAAAAAACAGCAGAGTTGAGCTAGATGAGAACATTAAGGGATTCAAAAATGCAAAGCACTAAAACACCAAGGCAAGACAAAAATCTTGTTTCATTGTTGCTGAGTGACAAAATTGAAAGACAGCAAAAGCATCAAATTTCAAGCTCGTTCTCAGACTGTGCACAGCTTGTACTGGTACTCGTCTTTTACTTTTCTTTCTATTGTCCTGCACTACCTTTGCTAAAAGACAGTTGTTTCTCCCTCTAACTTCCTTCAGTGACTCCAAAGGAGACTTTTCCCCATGTCTTTCATTTCATTACACCTCACCTACAGATGATCCAATTTACAAAAAAAACCAAACCAAACTAAACAAAAAAAAAAAAAAAAAAAAAAAAAAAAAAAACCAACAACAACACAAAAAACCAAACACCAGCAAACTTTTCTACAAACATTGACAACTCCAAAGTTTAACTCCTGCATTAATGTTTTTCTAACTAAACTAGGATATCAATAGATCTGACACCTCCATATGGGTATTTAGCCATCAGTTCAAGTTCAACATTGACCAATGGTTCAACGTTTCCTTAACCCTTGACTCAATTTCTACAAAATGGAATTTTCTTCCATCATGCCCTAAACTGGACTGTTACACTTTTCATTTAGACAGATGTGAGGCAACCAGAGATGTGCCTGAACATATTACCTGCATAGCATTTGCAAGACTCATCCTCTTCCCTGTGTGCACAGAACTGATGCTTCTGTCCAGTTTATCCTTTTCACTCTGTTCTGACTATTGCTCCATCGTCAGCCTTGGTATGTTCCATCTCAATTCACCAATTTCCTTTTAAAATATAACACTAAAGATCACTTTAATAGGATGTTCCAAAGACAAACCATTTTTCTGTTCATTAAATTATCTTCCCCCCTTCCCAGACAATAAAGTGCTTGTCTTCTTCTTTAAAGGCCTTTTAAATTTGTCTTCACATTAAACTAAAATATTGACCTTCATTTCATGTATCATGCTCAGAGATTTTACAAAATTCCTTTGTAATCTCATTCAAAATGCGTTATGCATAGAAAAACCATAGTTTTATTCAAAATTCCTGTTGAAGTTTTTTTTGAGAACAATGATTTGACAAATAGTTTGCTATGATGCATATTTTACAATTCTGGCCAGTATTGTACCATTATTTCTTTGCTGTCTTGTTCATGCAATACCTCTATTTTTAGAATTGTCACGAGAGACTTCTCCTACCTAAATACTACTGTAATACAAAAAACATAATGGAAAAATATTAAATATACACATAGAAATGGGTCTAAATCAGTGACCACAACAAAGTTGCATTACATATATTTACACACATGCATACATACAATGATCAAGTTATACCAAAATGTAATCATTACATACAGCAACATTTGTCTTTTTCCTTTAGACACACCACTACTACATACAATGAAATTCACATAAAATGAGAAAGGCATTTGTAGGTGTGCTTTAATCACTACTCTAGCTCTATATTCAGCAGCACTATTGCAGCATTTTCCAGTACATGACACTTTGTAACAAAGCATCCCTCAACCATAGCTGGAACACCAGTTAGTGTCTATGTGCAGGGCAAGTGTCTCCAGGACAGGAACAGGAATGCTAGAGGTTGGGAAACGATGGATGGGAGGATGCCACCAAGTATGTGCTTCACAAGAGTACAGAATCAAAACTCATTCTTCTCTCTCAAAAAATACACACATTTAATGTTTGTCTTTTAATTCTAAGAGAAAAGCAATTCCAAAAATACAAACTGAACATCAGAGTTATGTCAATCACCATAATAAAATGAAACGACATTCACAATAGTTAGGTCTATGGACAGCTGAAGTTTGACAAGTATTTTCTCCCCACACCACCCCCACTAAAGTCCCCAGGTACATTCCAATATTTATCGTTAAATGAATCTTTATGAAAAATACTGCTGGTGTTCAGTTAGAATTAAAGGACTTGGATAAAGTGAAACAGACAAATACAGATGGTGTGAGTAAGGTTACAAAGGCTTTACATTTTGCATTATCTCAAGATATAAACATTCAAAAATTAACATGAAGTTGCTGTGTTATCAAAATATTGCAGCTATAGGCAAGGCAACATTAAATTAATAGCTGAGGGTATGAGAAAAAAACCCCATACATTTTAGTGAAGGTAAACAGAAGTGGGAGATTTTAATTAGCATTTTTATAAAGCTAATATAGCCCAGCCAGCCATAAGCCAAGCACAGGATAAAAAGCTTTCT